TGTTGCTGTAAATGACAGAATTTCATTTTTTTTTTGGTTGAGTGGTATTCCATTGTATATATATATACCTCATTTTCCTTATCCACATTTTCTGTTAGTGGACATTTACGTTGGTTCCATATTTTGGCTATTGTAAATAGAACTGTGATGAACATGAGAATGCAGGTATCCCTTCAACATGATGATTTCCATTCTTTGGGGTATATATCCAGAAGTGGGATTGTTGGAAAAATCCTTTTTTTGGCTGAGTGGTATTCCATTGTATATATATATACCTCATTTTCCTTATCCACATTTTCTGTTAGTGGACATTTATGTTGGTTCCATATTTTGGCTATTGTAAATAGAACTGTGATGAACATGAGAATGCAGGTATCCTTTCAACATGATGATTTCCATTCTTTGGGGTATATATCCAGAAGTGGGATTGTTGGAAAAATCAACTCAAAATGGATTAAAGACTTAAGCATAAGACCTGAAACTATAAAACTCTTAGAAGAAAACAGGGAAAACCCTGTAGGATGTAGGACTGGGCAAAGACTTTATGAATAAGACCCCAAAAGCACAAGCAACAAAAGAAAAAATAAACAAATGGGATTATATCAAACTAAAAAGCTTCAGCACAGCAAAGGAAACAAGCAACAGAGTGAAAAGACCACCAACAGAGTGGGAGAAATATTTGCGAAATAGACATCTGACAAAGAATTAATGTCCCGAGTATACAAGGAACTCAATTAACTTTACAGCAAAAAATCAAATTACCCCATTAAAAAATGGGCAAAGGAGCTGAATAGGCATTTCTCAAAGGAAGATATACGAATAGCCAACAGACACATGAAAAAATGCTCACATCACTCAGCACCTGGGAAACGCAAATCAAGACCACTTTGAGATACCGTCTCACTCCAGTCAGGATGGCTAATATCCAAAAGACTGAGAATAATAAGTGCTGGAGAGGTTGTGGGGAAAAAGGGACTCTCATCCACTGTTGATGGGACTGCAAAATGGTGCAACCTTTATGGAAAATGGTATGGAGGTTACTCAAACAATTGCAGATAGATCTACCATATAACCCAGCTATTCCACTGCTGGGAATTTACCCAGAGGAATGGAAATCATCATGCCAAAGGGATATCTGTACTCCAATGTTTACTGCAGCACTATTTACAATAGTCAAGTGTTGGAACCAGCCTAAATGTCCATCATCAGATGAGCGGATAAGGAAACTCTGGTATATCTACACAATGGATTCTACTCTGCTATAAAAAAGAATGAAATACTACCATTTGCAACAACATGGATGGACTTCAAGAAAATTATATTAAGTGAAACAAGTCAGGCACAAAAAGAGAAATACCTCATGTTCTCACTTATTTGTGGGAACTAAAAATAAATAAATAAATAAACACACAAACAAATAAAGGGTGGGGTGGGGGAGGAAGACACCACAATCACAATTCCTTGAACTTGTTAAGACAAGTGAACAGATATGATGTGGGGGGGAGGGGAGAGGGGGAAAAGGAATGGGTAAAGAGTCATAAAAATCAACTACAATGTATACTGGGAAATCAAAAGAAAACAAAATTAATAAAAATAGGAAAAGAAATGTCAAAAAAAAAAAAAGAAGCCCAAACAAGTCATGGTTTAGCTAAACTAGAAATAATCTCATGACCAATGACTCAATCAATGTTGTATGGGAAAATGATGAAGAGAACTTGAACTGGTCATACTATATTATTCTATAGCAAATCAGCAAAGAATTACATATGGAAATAGCTGTATATACTCTTTCTCCTATACCTGCTAATGATATTTTCATGTTTTATGTGTAATTATACTTTTTTAGCTACAAACGCAATATTTAGCAAAATTATTTGTTGTATTGCTGTTTACGCTTTCTTATTTAAAAACTAAACTTTTCAATAAAGTTCAGCTTTGGATTAATGTGATCAGCATTTTGGTGTTCAGAGAGCCAAACTCAACAGATAAATACCTCATGTCCTCACTCATAAGAGGGAGCTAAGAAAGAAAGAGAGGAGAGAGGGAATGAGAGAGAGAGGAAGGAAGGGAGGGAGGGAGGAAGGAAGGAAGGAAGGAAGGAAGGAAGGAAGGAAGGAAGGAAGGAAGGAAGGAAGAAGGAAAGAGTAATCACAATAATATGTTGAACTTTCAGGAGAGAGCAGAACTGTAGTTACTAGATGTGGAAAGGGTAGCAAGAAATTGGTTAATGAACACAAGGAATGATTACCTTTTGTAATGATGAATATGCTAATTTACTCATTTGATTGTCACATATTGTGGACAAGTATTAATAGTCATTTTTGTACTCTACAAATATGTATAATCAATTACGTTCAATTAAAAAAAAACCTTGACAATCAAATTTTGAGTTGCCAGCCACCCTGACTAAGGTTTGGTCTTCCTAAGCATCCAGGTTTGAGAATGACAGACAGCAGCGCACTGCACTCACATGCCACTGGACTTCCCTAATTTCCTCTATTCATCAGAGGTTGGCCTTTTCTCCAAACACATGTGTTTCATGGAAAATGTAAATAAAAACCAGGAGTAATCACGAATGTCTTCACTTTTCATTAATTTTCACAACTTGAGCCATATTCCATAGCATTCATCTCTATTAAGCTTTTATATCCACAGAACTGAGTCCAAATTTGAAAGTTATAGTCACATGAAAACACTTTAACATCTTTAAGATATCTCCCTGATTTCAGAAAAAAAGGCTTATATTCCAGTCTTGATTAAATATTTAAGATTTGCAAAATTTTGTCCTCAGAATATCAATTTATTTATTCATGTATATAAAAGTCTAGACCCCTTAGGACATTCATCATAAGGGTTTTGAATTGATATATGTTATTTTTTAAAGATTCAGCTATATCTTAAGGTACAAATGTATTTCTTATATTTTATATTCCTCTAAAATTATTACACATTTTTGGAGGCTGAAAAAATTCAAATAAAGGATAATCAGAATGTGTTATCTGATACAAGTTTAAAATTTTTCATTCTCAATTAAGTCTGCCAGCAAGAAAGGTTATGACCTGATAATAAGAAGAACAAAGGGTTTTGATTTTCTTTGTATTCTAATCCTCTAGCAGCTAATATTTATTTATCTGTATCTTCCAAATGCAGTATTATACCATGTTCAGAAGTACTTTAACTAGTTATCAAAAGTCGGCATTAATTGCATAAGCTTTCCATTTGGATCACTTTAGTGGAAGGAGAAGCTGCGTATTTTAGCGTAAGAAGACAGAATTTGGAACCAGCAGACCTGAATTATAATCCTGGTTCTTCCCATGAAAAAGCAATTTCACTTTTCTCAGTTAATATTTGCAGATCTGCAGAAAGTAAACATTTTTTAAAAGAAAGTAAATGTCATTGTAGCAATAAAAGTGCTGCTGAGCTAATGAAGCAGGTCGATGGACTAGTATGAGGAGACAGTTTGGATAAGGTGGTTGAGAAGATGTCTCTAAGTGGCAACATCTGAGCAGAGTCATGAAAGGAAGGAAGAAGGAAGCCAGTGTAGTCCGAACAGAAGAATATAGAGGCATAGAGAAGAGCAAGAAAGGACACCTGCTGCAGAAAGAGCCCCGTGTCTTTGATCAACCACAGCAAAGCCACAAAGTGCAGCAGGGTGAAACAGGGGCCTGAAGGTTGGGGAAGCACTGAGGAGCAAGGCAGGGCCAGTCCTGGGAATATAGAGACATAGAGAAGAGCAAGAAAGGACACCTGCCGCAGAAAGCCCCGTGTCTTTGATCAACCACAGCAAAGCCACAAAGTGCATCAGGGTGAAACAGGGGCCTGAAGGTTGGGGAAGCACTGAGGAGCAAGGCAGGGCCAGTCCTGTAAAGACTTGCCAGCCATGGCAAGGAGAGGAATAGAGTCACTGGAGCAATCAAGTTCAAATTTAAAGAGATTTTTCTAGGCAGCTGTTTCTAGGTACTGAGGGGAGAGATATTGGTGCTGGATGGGCAGTGGCAGAGCAAATGGTGGGATATGTTTGAATTTGGAATATATTTTGAAACTAGAGCTAATAGGGGTGAGAAAAAGAGAACACTCAAGAAAGGCCACTAGCTTTTTGTCTTGTGCAACTGGGAGACCATGGTACCATGCATTGATCTAAGAAGATGGAGGAAGAGGCAGAGTTGAGGATGACAGTCAAGAATTCTGTTTTGGGCATGTTAAATTTGATACGCTGATATAGACAGTCAAGTAAATATACAAAGAAGGCAAATGGATATTTTTAAATGTCATTATTGGGCTTCTATTTGTTTTGAGATTATTTTCTATACTTTCATGTGGCAAATCCTGTTCATGCTGCATATACTCCAAGTTGCTGAATTCCTCTTTGATTATAATTCTCTCAAGTGATTTTCCTTGCAGAAAGCTTTCCTGGACTATATTTACTGTAAAGGAATTCCTTGAGTATCAGAAGTATCTGGCTGAACTTTCCTGCATCATCTCCAGGTTGTGAGATGCATCATTTCTTAGTATGATTACAACACATGGCAGCCCCACTTAACAAAACACCTACTGAAGGATTGGTTGTGCTCTAAGTAATCTTGGGGTACTCAATATATGAAGTTGAACCAGAAGTTCTAAAGAGGGATTACACAAACTGTGGCCCACAGTCCAAATCTAGCCCCCCTACCTATTTTTCTAAATAAAGTTTTATTGGAACACAGCCATACCCCTTCTTTAGGTATTATGTGTGGCTGCTATACACACCAAATGACAGAGTCGACTAGTTGCAGCAGAGACTTGTGACCCGCAAAGCCGAAAATATTTGGTTCTTTAAGAAAAAGTTGACCCTGCTGTAAAGTTTTTTCTAATCATGAAGCCTCATTATTTTATGATTTGAGGAAAAGTGAATCAGAAATGCACTAAGATTCATTTCCATTTACCATCTGAAACAATTGCGAGAGTAGATCTGATATTCAACGTTTAATTTTAGTGATTTTTTTCTTTTCTTTTCTCTAAAGCTGAGAATCAGAGTTCAATCAACACAACAAAAAGACTAGGTAAGTTAATTTTCTTTTCTCTGAGTATCTTCATGGGTAAAGTCCCAAGAATGAGACAAAGTAGATCAATCAGTTTGAGAGCAGGATGAAAGAACACAAAGAAAATCTTTACATGGCAAGTAAAATGTGTAGGAGACCTTGGGTTAAAAATGAACACGCAGACCAGGAGAACATACGAGGACGTGGCCGAGTGCTCTGTGACTGAGGTGAGTGAAGCAGCCCTAGTGAACTTGTGACACTTGTGGAATGTCCTCTGCCCAGAACCCGCTGTTCTCGGTCTGTTTCTGTTGTCAGTGTGCCTGCTCCCAGAAGTACACGGTGTCTTTGTACTTTCTGACAAAGTCTGGTCTTGGCATCCAAAACAGATGATGTTGGAAGCCACAGTTAATAATTTAAATGTTAACGTTCCAAGAAGTGCTTATGTCTTATCTTCCCTTCGTTTTAAACTTAGTTTTAGATTTTTGATGATGGAGCAACAGAAATTGAAAAAGATCATTGGGCAGGGAAAATGGGAATGTTGAGTCTTCCTGTTATTTTGATATTATAATTATGCGGGGGACTTACATCTTCCTATATCCTGCCTGGTAATTACCTGAAAAACAAATCACTTAGGCTCTCAATTCTGGTCAACTTTGATGTATATAAAACAAAAATGTGAAATAAACCTAGAAGATTATGTAACTTTAAAAAAATCAGAAAAAGTAAAAATAAAATTATGAGTGTCTCTCATACCATTTTCACAGCAAATGTCCTAAATAATTATCTTAGTCTGCTTTCTACCTCCTGTGTTCAAGGCATTTGAAATAAATTATTTTGCTTTTACCTTTTAATTATTATCTTCTGCTATGTAATATATCTTATTAATATTATAATTATTTTTATATTATTAATTCTCTTTATTCCACCTCATCATTGTATGTTTTCTTACTTCCATCTTCATAGTCTAGAAAGGGCGTGCATTAGAGAAGTCAAAGCAAAGCAAGGCACAAAT